TACATTTCCATTTTTGGAGTTAGAGAAGGATCTACAAGGCCAATAAAAAGTTGTGGGACTAGGTGTCTTGCACTATAACAACGAAATATCAATCTGCTAAATTTTCTCATTTACATTTGCATGGTCTTAATATAGTGTTTGTACTCGTAATATTAGCAGAATCAATGATTTTGCTGCTTAATACACTTGAATAAAATTACTGTACAGTATTGAATATAAGTTTCGTAAATAATGCAAGTGCAAACACTAGCACTATTCGGATGATGCAATTATTTGTTTTGTCATGAAAAAAGAAATATATGTTTAATATTGATATCAACTGTTCTCATTGCCTCATGTGCAAAAGAAATATGGAAAACTAAAAGCGATCTGTGATTTTAGCGAATGTTTACTTGGAAAAGAATATGTATGCCTTTAGAGATTGCTTTAAAAGTTTCTGGCTTAGTATTAACCAGCATGAAATAATTATGAGAAGCTAAGAAGAAAAATGAAAGCAAAGAACGACTTGGTGAATTATTAAGATATTTTTTCTTCGTGAATAAATTTATTTTAAATATTTTCATATAAATTATTTGGTATTTTAACACTCTAAATTTAAAGCTCTGGACATAACATATATTACATTGTTCATGGGAGTGCTGGTCAGATGTGTACTTATCACCGTTTATCAACTTATCACAAAACATTAAGAAACTAATAAATTTACTGTCATCAGGTATATTGATATTTTAGATCACTGTTGGAATTTGGTCAATGAAAATAGATATGATAATTGAAATTTTTTTAGTTGTTTTGACTGCTTGGCCATGACTCAATGCAAAATATACACAACTAAATCATATAATATCAATAATAACAATTTAATCAAATAATTAAACATAATACCTCAAATTACTCCTAAGAGTAAGTATAACAGATATAAACAAACCAATAAAAAAAGTATATTTTTAATTGGAGAGATGAAACGCCAGCTTACCAACAAACAGTGACTATGATAAATTGATTAGATCCTTCCTTGAATGATAAATAGTATTGTTCATTCCGGGCATTTTTGATTGTCAATATTGCTTCAAGAGTCACAGTAATGACTGAAAGATATAATCAAAATTTTGAGTTTCGTTACTTTATGGGGTGTTTCTTAATAAGTGGTATGTGGAAAGTGCGTACTGTACTTTTTAGTACGGTACTCACCTTATATATACCTAATACTGTGTTGGAATATGAATTGCTATGTGTGAACTTGCAATTTTTTTTTTAGCATGCTCCTTTGCCTTCATTACGGTACACATTTTCTATATATTCTTCAATAAGATTTAGATAGTTTTGCAAAAAAACTAGTGTCAAAAAAATTTTTAAATCAAATTCATAGAGAAATTGTGTTTCATTATTTTATATTAAAAAGTTTATTATTAATGTTATATCTTTAGAAAAGAATATACGCAAACATAATAATATGTAATGATTAAAAGGCATTTATCTTAATCAACAATTAATTTAAAGGATATTTATTCGTATTTATTCTAATAAAAAAAAAATACAGAAATTTTCAACAAAGCAAAATCAAAAAATTCTTAAATACATTACAGAAAAATACACTTATAAATATATGCCTCTAACAATTTAAGATCCACAATAGAAATGGACGTTGCCCCGTAGTTTTGAAGTCTATGGTTGAAGTCAATTGCTTGCAAAGTGTTGATAAAAAACCGGTCAATTCATTCAATAGCGAAATTCTATCGTGGATCATGAATTAAGGGTATCAATGGAATCAGCAAAACTTGAAGTTGAAAATGGCGGTGCTTTTATCTCTAGATTGCAAGTATTAAATTTTACGATTAATTAAAAATTAAAAATGTATATTAGAAGCTGTAACATAATATAATGAAAATAAAATATACTATTTTAACATTGTTCTTAAAGATTAATTGATAAATTATCTGTCATCAGCTTCAAGGTTAATTTTAAAAAAACTACAGCTAACTTTGATATTCAAATAGTAAATATACGTGAAAAAACAGTTTTGAGTTAATGCTGCTCCTATATTAATATACAGTGTGTTAAGAATCGTAATTAAATAAATCTAGATGTTATTCACATATTTTTTTTAAAACTTTGCAAAATTTTTGTCTCTGAAATTTTACCACGGAAATTTTTAATAATAAAAAAACATACAAAAAATTATACCAGTTTGTAGTGAAAGTTCTGGAGATTATATATATAAGCCTTCATACTTCCAGATTTTCTAGAATTTTGTCAATTAGAAATAAAAGGGATTTGATTATTTTGAAAAAAAAAACAATTCAATGTGTAAATTTCTTTAATAATTGCTCTAAAGCCTACATAGTAACATGCTTCAAAAATTTCATGTTATAATCTAAGATCTTCCGATTCTCTGATATAATTTTCATCATATAATTTTGGCTACTTTTTTATTAAAAACAATATTTTTACTAACTGCCGTTTTTTCTTAACACTCTGTATTTAATTCTTTATGTCAAATATTTTTGGCTTAGAAATCGTGCCCACATTGTATAGTAATATCTTGAGATGTTGTTCTTTAAAGCTTCAAGAGCAATAGTAAACTCCTTGAAATGTGGATCATTTCACAGATACGCACACAAATGATTGTAATATCAAAGTTTCCTCAAAATAAACATCTTTTTCAACGAACAATTCACCAGGAGTTTTGTGCTTTTTCCAGAACTTTGCTCTTACCAATGGCATGGCATTATCCGCATCTAGTGTTTAAACAATGATGCATCTCGGTAGACACATGTTCAAAGCTATTTATGTTGGTAATGTATAGTTGTTTCGATTTGTTTTAGTTCATTGAATATTAATATGTCAAGAAATTTCCGTGAAATATCCGCCACCAAATTGTTCTAAACACAAATAAAATGCAAAGCCATCATAATTTACAACCTCCAAAGAAAAGAAACTTTTCAGATAATCAGAATGATGATGGTAATAGCAATAACAGTAATAAAGAACACATTAGTAAAAAAGCAACGAAAAAAATTTTTAGTCAAGAAGCTACTCTTCAAATTGAGCATATAGTAACTGACACATTTCAAGAAGAATCAACAAGAGAAGTTGCACCCTCTACTAGTGATTTATTAAAAGAACAGAAAATGCCTTTGGTTTTAAGACACGAGGTTACTTACTATAATATTATTATTATTTACAACAATTAAAACTGAACTAATCCAGACTCGAAATTGAAAAGGTAAGACACCAAGTAGCAATACCTCTAAATTACGCATACATACCCATTTCTCAACACACAAGGTTAAATGAACCTGTTTTAGTGAGTGCTCATACTTCTGCTGGTAAAACAGTTGTAGCGGAATATGCCATTGCTCAAAGTTTAAAGAGTAAACGAAAAGTCATATACACTACTCCAATCAAAGTAAATTTCGAAAAAATATATGACTTGCAATATTGATTAATTGATTGACTAATTAATTACTGAGCATAATAAATATACGTACATATTGTAGACATTAAGTAATCAGAAATATAGAGAATTACAACATGAATTTAAAGATGTTGGTTTGATGACTGGCGATGTTACTCTTAATCGAAACTCTAGTTGTAAAGTAATGACAACTGAAGTATGTTTTTCTTGGACTAGAATAATCAATTAGTTACTTGATCAATTAGTCAATAACTTAATATTATAAATCATTAGATATTACGCGGTATGTTGTATCGAGGAAGTGAAATGCTAGATGAAGTAGCTTGGGTTATATTTGACGAAATACATTATATGCAAGATAAAGGTAAATACGAGATAAAAACGATTCAACAATAGAATATACAAGTAATTTAATAATATACAAGTAATTTAATAATTAATAATTCTTTGAAGATCGCGGTGTTGTATTAGAAGAAACTATCATATAGTTACCGCATAGCATTCACACTGTATTTTTGTCTGCCATAATTTCAAATTCAATGGAGTTTGCTGAATGGATTTGCAAAACACATCATCAGGTTATTATTGTTTTTATTAAAACTTTTTTTCTTGATAAATAATTATTAAATCTTTTCAATATAAATATAAATATATTATGATGGTGAATTAGCCATGTCATGTTGTTTATACAGATTTTCGTCCCACACCTTTGCAGCATTATATTTATATTGATCATTTAAATGAAATTTGCTTACTAGTTGATGAAAAAGGCACATTTTATGAAAATGCTTTCCAGAAAAAAATTAGAGAACCTTTCAATACAGAACCAAAAAATTCTGATAATACCAAATTAAGAAGAAGTAAATTTAATATATTTTAATATTAATATGGTTATTAATTTGTATTCATTTATCATTATATTATTAACAATGCTGCAATTATTAATTTAGATAATGTTCATTCAATGATAAAGGCCTGTATAAGTTCTAATCTTGATCCAATTATTGCATTTGCATTTTCAAATAAGGAATGCAATAATTTGGCAATACAATTGAATAAAATGGATTTTAATAATGGCAAGTAATAATTATACATATATTATTAGTAATTAACAAATTTAAACTATTAATTCATCATTTATCAATCAACTATCACATTAGATGATGAAAAAGAATTGAGAACTAAAGTTGTGGACAATGCTATGGATTTGTTAGCTGAGGAGGATCGTCAATTAAAATCAATACATGATTTATTGTCATTGTTAAAATGTGGTATCGGCATTTATCATTCAGAATTATTACCTTTTTTGAAAGAAGTGGTGAGCTTTTATTTCAAGAAGGCCTGATCAAAGTGTTATTTACCACCAAAGCATTTTCAATTGGGTTAAATAAGCCTGCAAAAACTGTTGTTTTTTGTGATTTGACAAAATTTTATGGGTCAACAAATAGAAATGTACAGTCGGCGCTCGATATAGTGAAGTTTTGGCTAGTACAAATTTGGAAACTATCTGCGTTAATATCCAATCAAATTCAATTTTTCAGAAGATAGTTTCCAAATTTGTACTAGCCAAAACTTCACTATATCGAGCGCCGACTGTATGTTGATTATTTTTATTGCGCTTTATCTTTGCCTAAAAATTGTACATTAATGTTTATATACAAATTTTATAGTCAACATCCGGAGAATACATTCAAATGTCTGGTCACGCTGGTAGAAGAGGTATTGATGATCGTGGTCATGTAATAATGAGCCTTGGTAGTAAATATCATTTGACTAAGGATATGGTTAAGGTATATTTAAAATTTTTTTTTAGATACCAACAATTAATTATTTTTTCTTTATTGTGATAATTAGGGAAAACCTAATTCTTTATTATCAGCATTTCATTTAAGATATCATATGATATTAAATATGTCAATAATTGAAGGTATAAGTCTTGAATATATGTTAAAAAATAGTTTTTATCAATTTCAAAATACCTTACTAAGGTTTCTGGTCGAAACTGCTTCTATTAGTAGCCGAAATTACCCAAATACTTTGGGCAAAAATTATTTTTTTATAAGCCCAAACTACTTTTTGTTATTAGCCGAAATTGGGCGAAATTATTTTAAAGTTGTTTAAGTTAAAACAAGTTGATTCATATAGTTTTTTAATGTTCATGCTTATAGAAAATGTTGAGAAGCCCAAATTGCCCAAACTAGTTTGGGCTTTGAGAAAACAGTTTGGACCAGAAACCTTATACCTTACCAATTTCTCAGCTACAAGCAAGTATCTATTTAATCATTATAGCCAACTTAATCACGTCAAATTCAACTAAACAATATAATAATTTCATAATAATATTATCTTGATTTTATAGAATTGAAAAAGTACAAGAAAAAATTGAAAGAGCATAAAATAGAGAATGAAGAATCAGTAGCACAATATTATTCATTTGTTAAACTCAAAGAGGAAATGACTGGCGAGTTTAATGTATACATCACAAGTCCAAAACACTGTATGAGATTTTTAACTCCAGGTAGATTGGTATGGGTGAAATATGATGATATGGATTTTGGTTGGAATATGGTCATTAAATGTGAAGAGATAATAAGGAGGGCAGTTACACATTATAATTTAATAAATTCTGGAAAAGCAATTCATAAAGTAAAAGTGTTGTTGCACTGCTCTAATGATTCATTTGTGAATAGTGAAAGAGTTGATGTCAAGCCATGCCCAGTAAGCTTAAATGATGGTGTTATGCTGGTAATATAAAACTGAATCTTCATTACTTTAATTATTAATAATTTAATTTTGCAAAGTTGTTATTATTGAAGAAACATATTTATTTAATTAATTTTTGAATTTTTTTTCAAAAAAATTTAAAGGTTGTTCCAATAAAACTTAAAGATATACAAACAATCAGTCAAATACGCCTTCATGCGGGTGAAAATATCGAGCATGAACGTCATCTAATGCATTTAGCTTATGAAACTATTAATGATATTCTTTCAAAACATCCGACTGGTGTGCCATTAGATCCAATAGTACATATGGATATCAGAAATGAAAATTTTAAATTTTTATATCATGCAAATAATAAATAAATATATTACTTTCTCTAATTCATTAGATTTTTAAAATTAATATCAATATTTGTCACCTCATTTTAGAAAATGAGATTAATTGAAGAGAACATTAATAAACATCCAATTAATCAAGATCCATTAATAATAGAAAAATATACCAAAAGATTGAATTTAGTAGAACAGAGTAAACATTAAAAAGCAGAATTCGCAAAGTAGAATCAGTTCTTCAATTTGATGAATTTAAAAAAAGAAGACGTTTATTACGGAGAATGGGTTACTTGTCAGAAAATAATATGGTTGAGCTCAAGGGTAGAATAGCATGTGGAATTAAATCAGGTGATGAAATAGTTTTAACCGAGTTATTGTTGAATGATGTTTTCAATAGTTTGTCAGCTGAAATGACTGCTGCGCTATTTAGTTGTTTATAATTGATGAAATATCGGATGGAAAAAATGTTATAATTCAAGAATTCATAGAGCCATATAATCAAATTTTAGAGACAGCTAGAATTGTAGCTGAGATTACTGAAGAGTGTGCTATTGCTATTGATAAAGAAAAATATATGGCAAAATTTTCACCTGGGTTGGTGGAAAGTGTGTATGCTTGGTGTAATGTAAGTAAATTTGGATTTTTTTTATAATTTCTCTCTTTATATATTTTCACTTTTATTTACATTTTTGCCAAATTATAATTATTACTTTATTCAAATTAATTTTAGCATGTAACGTTTCCAGAAACGTGTAAAAAAGGAAAAATGCAAGGAGATATTGCTAGAAATTTTGAAAACTTGGATGAATTATTACAAGAAATGGTTTCAGCAGCCAAGTGTATAGGAAACATCGAATTGGAAAACAAATTTTCCTTGTCAATTGAAAAAATCAAAAAGGGAATAATGTTTGCAGCATCATTATACCATTAAATTAATAATTAACACATGAATATTTGATTGATTGCTTTATAAAATATATATTTAATTAGCTAATTAATAAAATCAATTAACCAGAATGAAAAGTAAACAGTCCTTTTTTTTTCTTTGCTATGACCCTCGCAACAACAATCATCCAAAAATAAAAAAAGAAAGTGTTTGAACACCATAACAAATGTTTTATGTGATTTAGAATAAATTGATTTTCATTTAACACCACAATTAACTCTTAAATTTTATTTATAATCAATCCTATTTTACTATCCGATCATTGTCACCAACATTTACTCCCGGATTATTATAATTGAGGTAACATCCAGGCTATTAGTAAGTTTTGGAAAAATTTTACCCTTTTAAGCATGTAACTTCATATATAACCATCGAAAAAATTATCCAATATATTTTATCTAAAGAACTATATTAATATAACTGTTGATGTTCTTCACTAATTCTTAATAAACCCATATCTAAATCTATAACGATAGTGATAATGATAACAATAAATTATATAAATCAAATATTCAGAATGACCAATTAATTATGATCAATGACAACAATAATCATACTTCTATATCCAATTCCAAGAGCTCTAAAATAATTACTCATAAAATAATTCTCCCATCTGGTGAAAAAGTCAATAAGACTTATCTGTTAAATGATAATTAAATTATTAAATGTAAAGTTATAAATTAACATGATATCACTTGCAATCTCTAATTCACAACTTAGTTTCCACATGAATATTTAAAATTTTATTTATATCAATAGATTAATGTTCTAAAAGTTATTTATTTTGCCTTATTAATTAATATATACTTTCATAATCTTCAACACTAATTCTAAGATTTAAATAATTTTATAATTGTTTCATAATTGTATATAACAAATTAAATTTTAAGAATCTTTCAATATGACCAATAAATCATTTCGATTTTTTTAGTGTAACAAGGTTTACAAAAGTACAAGTCAGAGATGATCCGGTTATTTGTTGATCTATTTTGCTATTTCATTGTTATATGAATGAGGCTTATATTAATTATATTAAATATCAAATATGAGAAGAATTGAATTGTGTTGTTCATTCTTTTGTTCATTAAAAACCAAATTTTCATTTTTTGGGATTATTTATTATTCATAAGAATTTTAAATCTACGTACGTACATCCAACATCTACTTCCAATCGTCAAATTTACATTTCATATCACACATCTCAAACAACACACAAAATGCCATCAGGAAATACTTCAACGGATTCCACCAAAGCATTCATAAATCTCACGAATCGTAATTCAAGTAGTAGTATAAATGAAGAATCTGAAATTATAAATGATTCGTCAGATCATGATATTACTCGCGGCTTGATTTATAATTTTGGAGAGATTAGTGATGAGTTAATTAAAGCTGAAATAGATACTGGAGATGTACAAAATAAATTTTCATGGTCAAAGTTATGGAAATATACCGGTCCTGGTAAATATATATATCTGTGAGAGTGTGAAGATTTTTTTATTGAAAATATTTAATGGATTAGAAAAATAATTATAAATATTTAAAAATATAATATTATAAATATTTAATTACATGATTTAGGATTTTTAATGTCTATAGCATATCTTGATCCTGGGAATTTAGAAGCCGATCTTCAAACAGGTGCAGTTGCAGGTTATTCCTTGGTAAGTATTAATAATAATAATAATTATTTTTTTTTCTAATGAAAGTTCCAATTACTCAAATTTAATTTAATCAAATAATTATAAATATCCATTTACACAGCTCTGGCTTTTACTGTATGCTCATATAGCTGGTTTGCTGATACAATGTTTATCAGCCAGAGTTGGTGTAGTAACAGGGATGCATTTAGCTCAATTAATAAAAAAATATTATTCACGTCCTATCTCAACAATACTTTGGATAATAACTGAGATAGCTATTATTGGCTCCGACATACAAGAGATAGTTGGTACTGCAATAGCATTAAAAATTATTTTTGGATTACCTTTATGGGTTGGTACATTGTTGACTGCAATGGACACTTTCACTTTCATGTTATTACAAAATTATGGTGTCAGGAAATTAGAAGCCTTCTTCATGCTCTTAATTGGCTTGATGGCTGCTTGTTTTTGGATAGAAATGTTCAAGAGCGATCCTGATGTTGGTGGAATAATAACTGGAATGTTATTGCCTTCTGTTCCTTCTACTGCTGTTATACAAGCTGTTGCAATGATTGGCGCTGGTAATTATTATTTGTTTTTAGAAGGGAAAACCTATTCTATTTTTCAAAAGTTATTTTTGTTAAAAAAAAATTAATATATATTATTATTATTATAGTCATTATGCCACATAATTTATATCTTCATTCTGCATTAGGTATGTAACTTTAATATAATATACACCTATTGTTGTATGTAAAATTCTATAATATGAATGGTGGTTCTGACTAGCTCATTTGAATCCCACACATGTTCAATTTTAAATTCCCACAAATTTCAAATTCACGCACATTATATTATATATTGATTTAATTTATTTATTTATTTATTATTATTATTATTATTAAAAAATAGTGATGACTCGTAAGACAGATCCAAGCTCTAAAGCAAAACTTAAAGAAGCAAATTTTTATTTTGCAATAGAAAGTGGCATTGCTTTGCTTTGTTCATATTTGATAAATATGGCCATTGTTGTTGTTTTTGGTACAATTTTCTACAAACCAGATGGTAACTCGCCTCATCTACCAGGTTTATATGATGCTGCTGATGCTTTGACTAAAACTTTGGGTAAAGGTGCAAGATATCTTTGGGCATTTGGTTTATTGGCTGCTGGCCAAAGTTCTACCATGACTGGTACTTTGGCTGGTCAATATGTGATGGAGGGATTTTTTGGTAAAATTTTTACAAATCCTTGGCAACGTGTTGCCATAACTCGTGGAATTGCTTTAGTACCATCAATGATGGTTGCTGTTCTTGCTGTAAGTAGGATTAAATTTTTTTTTATATTTTTATTATTTTAAGGGAAATAAAATAAATTCACATATTTTTTTTTTTTCATTAGGTTGAAAATTTTGATACAATGGGTGAATTTTTAAATGTACTTCAAAGTTTGTGCTTGCCAACTGCTCTGATTCCAATTTTAAAGATTATAAGTTCTAAAAATATAATGGGTAAAAGTTTTCAAGCTAATTACTTTTGGAGAATTGTTTCTTGGTTACTGGCTTCAATTATTGTTTGTTTCAATCTTTTCCTTTTCTTGGCTTATCTAGAAGAACTACCCAATTTGTATGTTGGTTATATTCTTGGTGTTATTTATTTTGTTTTTGTGATATATCTTGCTTTATTACCATTAAATGATAATGACAATAATTTTGAAAATAAAAATATTGATATTGGTCATTTGGAAAGTTAAAAAGTTCTCAGTGATGAAATAAATTATTTAAATGTTATAATTTTGGAAGAAATAAATGCATGCTTTTCCAATATTCGTTTGTAAACTTGTAAATTTAAAGACTAATTCAACTTTGACAAAAAAACGGCAATCAAAACCAACACACCCTGCAATTTGATTATTTTATAATTCTCTCTCCCAAGGTTTATTCTTGGGATTAAAAAAAAAAATTGTGAGCACTTAAATGAGTTGTTTACATCATTAGTATTAATTGCTATACTATTATTATCAATAGAAATATGAAGGTTACTCGTCATTTTTTCTCTAAAATTATAAATTTCTCCGATAATCACCTTAGTAATGTTTTTTAAGGCACATATATACACAACTTTTTGTAATAGCTTACTAAGGATATATAATTGAAACAATTGTAATGACCAATGACTGCCCAATAACATTGATCATTTGGAATTTGGCATTTAGATCATTTGTGAAATGACAGATGCCAAATTATCATACCAAATCTAATAAATGGTCAAATGACAAAGCCATTTCCGAACACATTATGATTTTTTTGAAACAACACAAAATTGTTATTTTGCCATAAAACAAACATAATATCATTGATTTTTTACAAAAATCAGTTCAATTAATTAAAATTGTGGCAACTCATCATATTGATTATTATTATGGACCAGACTTGACTTTATATCAAGAAAACTTCATTTAACAAAAAATGAAGAATGGTATGATTCTAAATATTCTTGGCAGTTGTAAAAAATAAAGATGAAATAAGTCCTGATCATTTCTTTCGATGGAAAAGAATAAAAGAATAATTTTCCTGAATTCATAGATGGTATTATTATGTGTGAACCTGCAAGAAATAAATAAAATTATATCAAACTTTCTAAGAAAAATAAGTATAGATTATACTGCGAGAATACAGGAAGATTTTATTTATATAATTATAAGATCGCATTTATTTAGTTATATCTTTATTATTAAACAGTAATCTCATTGTTTTTAATAGTACTGTTATCGATTCCATTATCTTTAATAACGCTTTTATCGATCTCGTCATCTTTATTATTGCCCTCATCGATCAAATTTTTATTTTTAGATCTATTTTTTCTTTTATAATTATATAAAACAAGAATAGAAATAGAAATGACAAGGATTACACCGGATATAACTAATCCCAGAACCATTGTTAGCCTTTTGCTTTCATTTGAAGATTCTCCACTTTCTGCATTAGTGGTAGTGGTGACGACTGGGGTTGGAGCCTGTTCAGTTGTTGTTGGAATCTCAAACGTGTCTGCCCATTTATAATTATTTTTGTCGCTGATGTCTAATAATGAAATATTTCGGTAAGGATCGCCACCTCCTTTATCAGTATCCATCCAACCTATTATTATAATATAATAAATAAATAATACGTTTACGGATGGATTTGAAAAAAATAATATATATAAGTCGTTACCAAATGAAATGATCATGTAAGATTCATGCAAATTTGAAGTGTGCCATCTATGTGTTTTATTGAATAGATGGGCAGGATAAATAATATTTGGAACTGTCCATTGAAAAGGGAATTTTGTTGTATCTAATATTGCTAATTTGTCTGGGTTTGAAGTGCCACCATACACAATCATCCTTCCATCAGGTGCTAAAAATAAATAAATATTAAAAAATAATAATATTTTAATTGAACAATCATACTTGTAAAAAAATATCTACCTAATACTGAAGAATGTCCATATCGTGTAGAAGGTTTATCACCAGTTGTTGTCTAAATCGACAGAATATTTATTAGTTAAAGATATTATTATTGATTATTATATAACCTACCATGTTAGACCACGAATTGGCCTTTATATTGTATGAGGATAGCTATATATATATATATATATTATTAGAAAATACAATATTCATTTTATTTAATTAAATAATAAAAATTAAAATCATAATGTTACTGTAGTCATATCATCTCCAAAATAAATTATATTTTCATCACTCAACAAATGGCAATTGAAATGGTATGGAGAGATAGGTATGCCACTATTGATTGGTGTTAGGGTTGTAAGCGTCAAATTTTTGTTGGCAAATTTATATACATTTGGATCAAGAGAGGCAACTATATATGTGTTTCCATTACTATCTTGTGTGTATAGTGTTTCGCCAGCATTAATTAATTGTAATTGTCCATCAAGGTTCACTGGAATCCATGTATCAAACGAGTTTGTATTTATTGAATAAACTATGTTTCCGTATGCTTGAGTATTAGGAGCAACGTTTCTTGAACCAGCCATAACATAAATTGTATTATTATCAACTCCCAATGCCAGTGTTGCGCTATTAAATGGTGGCATTACAGTTTTTGGAGCAATTTGCTTTATTGGTAATGATTGATTGAGTGAAAATGATGTGGATAAATCTAGGTAAATTATTTGGCTTGATGCACCAGTAATAAAAGAATATCCTCCAAAAAAATAGAGTTTATTATTCAATATAATTGAAGCATGACTTGATATATCTAATAATTGACTGGAAACTAAATGATTGAAATTATCTAAATATATTAAATTGAAAATTATTAACAATATCAAATTGTGATGATTTACCATTTTAAATTTTAGTAAATCAATTACAAAAATTAAAATGAATAGATTAAAATATTAAATAAAAAAAGAACGAAAATTAAACAACGAAAATCAAATAAAAAAAATAAAAAAAATAAATCGCGAAAATTAAATAAAAAAGTTAAATGGATAATTACGAAAATTGGTGGCATTTAAATAAATTACGAAAATTAATAATTATCAAAGGAATTTAATAGTAAATAGTAAAAACATGTTTGCTGGAAAACCTATTCTTATTGTTATCGTTATTATGATCTTTATTATTATTGTCATCGTTATTATTATTATATTCTATATAATACTAAACGGGGATAATCTATTTTTAAATTACTATTCAGTATAAAAAAGGAAATTGATTCACGTAAAACAAAATTTTATTTTTCCCGTGAATCCTTTTTCACACATATTTATCTCTCGCCGATTTCAAAAAAAAAAAAGAATTGGCGATCTGCTTATGCGTCAAATCTCGAAGGAGATTAATATTAATATTAGTATTAACATATTAAACAAATTCCGTCACACAGTAACATGAATGCTAGTTTATTAAGTCGGAGCGGAACCTAATTGTGTAAAAAGGATCATGAACAAGGTATGTATCTAGGTTATTTTTAGTAGCCGAAACCATTTTGAAGAGGCGAAAGTCATAACTAAAATTAAATTAAAAGTCAAGAGTCAGACTTTTGTACAATTGTGACAATCAAAGAAAAAATTACTAAGGACAAGTTGCGCTCTCTATCAAAAAATTTCTACAATTTGTGAAGCAAGCTTTAGGCTTGTTTAGCAATTTGGTTTGATAAACTAGTAGATTTTTACACCGCTGCGACATATTATGAGCTGGTTTATCGTCCTACGGGGTAGGTAGATAAACTCAGGATATATATTTCATATATATTGCGTGCTTGACATTCATTTTAATTAAGTGTTAAATTAATTTGCATTGATGACATTTTAGTCTGTAAATGATAGATCAATTTGTATTGATTGATGTTTATAACGTTGTATTCATATTACCATATTCAAATGTTACACTCACTCAATTTTGGATTGAATGAATAATAATAACTGAATAATATGAATACAAACATACTGCGGGACAGATATAGGATATATGCGTGTCAATTTGTCCATGACCTTGATTAATTTATCAAATAAAATGCTTGTTTCCATCCATCCTAAATTGTTAAATGATCGGTTGAAGAATGAAAGCAGAGTTCGACGAAATTATTGGGGGGGGGTTTTCGTTGTTTTGATCCTTACTAAACACTACTAACACTACCATCATAATCACAATGACAATGAAGATAATACAGGAGAAGGTAACAGCAACAAAGATAACAATAACAACGAAGACAACAAACAACGCAAATTAGAATTTTGGCACAAGCTTTGAATTTGCATACAAATTTAAATTTTAATCTGATTTTTTCATATCAGCCAATTTGATTTTTTAGACCCTTTTTTCGAACCTTATTATTATGTCTTATTGTGTCTCGACGTTAAACAAGTATTTTTAATATGCAAACTGGTCAATAGAATGATAATTACCCTAAAAAACTTTATTTGCTCTACTAAAAAAACTATTTTACTATTCAACAGCTCGTCAAACCAATGGGTTTTTGCTATTAAAAAGTATTCATAACGTTATTATCATACCGTACTGAATTTTGGGTTCAAAAAAATCAGCGCATATGTAAATATAAATAGACAAGTATTTGATTTTGTTTCTTGAAAATTTATTATTAAAAAAAAACTCTTAAAAATAATAATTATTAATAAATTGTTGCCTTAAATCAAATAATTCTACTTTATTTGATCTTAGAGTTATACATTATGGTACATTTGCATAATATTGACGGTGTAGCAAAAAAGGCTCATCTACGAGACAGTGAAATTTTGTCCCGATAGACTGCATTTAAAATTGTACTATAATAATAATAAAGCAGAATTCCATACATCTAACATGGAAGAAAAAAATAATAAACTTGAATATTGTTGTTTTGTGGAAGAAATCAGGGAGAATTTAGACAATATGACAACAACAGTTATCAAAAATGTCTCAAAAAATAAAATAAAATAAAGAATATTCTAGTACTAAGTCAGATTATCCATGTTTTTTTTCGAATGGGTTAAGGCTCAAACGAATCGAATCGAGTCGGATTTTAAATTTAAAATTGATAGGATTTTAAATTGATATTATATTTTAAAAATAAAATGTGCTTATAAGTAGAATAAGACAAGTATAGTCAAACCTCATTTCAACTATGTACAGAATAGGTATAAATATATGTGGAATTAATAAATGCACGGGATGCATTTTCATATTCATGTAGTTTTCCACTTGGTTTTCGTGCATGAAAAAATGCATTTTAACACAGAAAAAATCTACTACGCGCCATACCCGCATGTTTAGGTATGGGAAAGTGCATTCTTTCATATCTTCCGTATGTATTCAATGCCTATTCAATGCATAAATTTTATAGGGATGTGAATGATCCTCACTGTTATCTTTAGATGAAGATGTTGATGTCTCAAAATACATATACAGACCATGCAGAAATGCTTAAGATATTTTGGCAAGAAGAAAATGAAACGCAAATCATTAATTCAGATAAAGCCCTCAAATAAAACTCTCTTCTTACAAAGCGAAACTTCACTTCCCATTATTAAATTGAAACGTGTCACAAGTTTTCATGGTATATAATAATGTTAAAAATAAAGTTTATAGATGATATGATCTTTGAAAAAGATTATTGGCGTGCATATATATACACATAAAGATTAGAGAGTGAGCGGGTTTTAGAATTAAAAATGACTTGATTGAGCAAATGAACCCTTCTTTTTGCCAAAACCCGGGTTCAAATATTATATAATGTGCAAAACGATTTTCAGGTTCGATAGTGAGAAAAATATCTAGATTAAAATATTTCTTTTTAACCATTCGGTTCATTAGATCTTTCTTATTTTACCGGATTCAGTCTCTATCAAACTTAAAATTATTCTCGTAACATGAATTCATACAGCCGAATTGTCGATAGTCAAAGGAAATGTCATGCAGCAAACATATTTTCAGAGAAATTTTACATTGAATTTTATAAGTTTTATTGGTTCGGTTAGTTCGTTTCCAAAGACCAGTTTTTTAATGTCGTCTCGAAGACGGCAAAGGCCAGTTAAACAAAAAAATGATCGTGTTTTTCATATATCATTTATTCACTTTTTTAAAATTGAAATAGAATTAATTTCAAATTAGAATTTGAAGAAACTAATTTTGAATTTCGAATAAATTTCATCATCATGTAAGAGCCTTTATTAAAATGGCACCATATTAATATCACATTTGGAGACCTGGCCAATAAAGATTCCAAGTTGTATAGATTCATTATTATTGTCATAGTTTAAAAAATTCAAAATGTTATTTTTTTATTTTATTAGTATTAATATTTTATCATATTGTATTTCAACATTCTTATTATTTTAATCTGTATTGGTTATTTTACATAGTACCATGGTCGACTAAAACTACAAAATTGACCAAGTCGACGAGTACAATAATAAACTTAGTCGAGGAAGCAGTTCTCTAATATTAATGTAGCATTACGTATATATATAAAGAATTTGAATTAACTTTTCTCAAATAAAAGAAAATAATTAAATTATACCAAAACTATTCGTTAGGAATATTCTATTCGATTTTATTGCTATCGATTAAATTCGCCTTTCTACCAAAGATGTTAATTCGTGACAATATTACACCAGTCAGTCAGAACTCCAGGTTAATTCATACACGTCATGAGTTGGAAATTTAACATAGTAAACTAATGTCCACGCTGTATATTTATACTAGGATTTGATTACAAAGCTGATTTAAAATGTTGACCGATTTTTTTTATTGGTAAAGTTTTCTCATTAAGATTTAATAGTAAATTAGTATACGATCTAGAATTAGAGTTAAAGAGGACCAGAACATCAAAAACTTACTCTGCAATTTTAAAAGCTAAATCTTTATAGGCAAAGTTCCGATGATATTATTTTATAGAAAAAAAAATTTTTTTTCTCTCATCATCGACATCAAAAGAATTTACGAATAAATTTTTTAAATTTCTAATTGGATTGATATAAAATTGCCTTATGATTTTAATTTAATTCTTCAAAAGACTTGTGGTAATTTTTTTAGATCAGTTTTGAGAATTTTATGGATAAATGCAATTTGAGCCTTTACGAAATAAAAAAAATAAAAGAAACCGATGAATTAGCAAGTAGCTATAATCCAGTCTCCAGTTGAACATTATGAACTGAAACAAATAAAGCTTTGATTTTCAAGCATTAAAAAACCTACGTAGCAATGTAATTAAAATGTTATGATAATGCACAATTTCATGAAATTTTGGTTTAGACCCATATGACTGAACCTTATTGTGATTATTTATTTATAATATGCTTACAAGAATAATTTATACTAGCAAATTATATATAATATATAATATAGAAGGCATAAATCAATATTATACAATGTATATAGATAGTATAAATGTAATAATATTATAAATCATAATTGTGCATATCAAAATCAATTAGCCTACGACTTCAGTATTACTATTTCTATTGATATATTTATTATCATTTGGAGTAATATAAATATTACTATGAGATTGATCATTATTAACAATACTATTGATCAATTCATCATTTCTAATCTTTCTTCTATATAAAACAAAAGTAAGAATGCCAATGAAAATGATAAAGATTACACCACCTATAACAGATCCAACAGTTATAACTATATTAGTTTTGCTATCATCATTTGATGAGTTGGGTGGATTATCAGTGCTGGTGGTAACTTGAGTTATAATGCTGGTGGTAACTGGGGTTGTAGTACTGGTGGTGTTAATTACAGCTGATAAAGGATCAAATGCATTCAACCATCTATAATTATATTTGTCACTAATATCCAATAACAAAATATTTGGATAAGGCTCATAATTACTTCCAAAAACAGTAGTAATCCAACCTATTATTATTAATTAATTAATATAAATGATATTAGTAATATATTTATGTAAATTTTAAAAATTAGTTATTACAAGTTACCAAATGAAATTATCATATAATTATTATACAAATTTGCAAAGAACCCTGCATGTGATTTATTAATTAGATTATTGGGATAAGTAGTAATATTTGTTGGAACTGTCCATTGAAAAGGGAATGTTGTTGTATCTAATATTGCTATTTTGTCTGATTGAAAAGTACCACCATACACAATTATCCGTCCATCAGGTGCTAAGTATACATATATGTATGTACAGTATATTAAAAAATATATTTAATCAAATAATAATTAAAGAAAAATGATAATTGATTTTTACCTAATACTGAAAAATGGCCCTTACGCACTGAAGGCTTATCACCAATTGTTGTCTAATATAATAGAATATTTATTAATGCCTTTTGAATATATATTGTCATCAATGATCAAATACAACTTACACTCTTAGACCAGGAATTTTGATTAATATTATATATGTATATCTAAATATTTAAATTATTAGAAAATAATATTCTCATTTTAATAAATAATAAAAATAATAAATCAATAAATTATAATATTACAATGGTTATATCATCTCCAAAAGAAATCAACTTTTCATCTTTCAAAGCATAAATATTAAAATAATATAAGTTTGATAAAGGTGGACCACCATTACTTGGTGTTAAGGTTGTAAATATCAAATTTTTGGTATTGAATTTATATATACTTGGGTCATTTTCATTCATTATATATGTATTTCCATAATTATCTTGTGTATACATTGTTGATCCAACTTTATTTAATTGCGATTGTCCATTGGGGGTTTCTGGAGTCCATGTATCAAATGAATTTGTGTTTATTGAATAAACTATGGCTCCATAACTTATAGTATTAGGTTCTACATTTCTAGATCCACCTATAACATAAAGTGTGTCATTATTAACCCCTCCTAATGCTAGTGTTTCACCAGCAAGTGGAGGTATAGAAGACTTTGGAAAAATTTGTTTTATTGGCAATGTCTGATCAAGTGAAAATGATGTGGATAAATCTAGGTAAATTATTTGGTTTGTTTGATTTAATTTTAAAGAATATCCTCCAAAAGAATAGAGTTTATCATTCAATATAATTGAACTGTGACCTGCTATATCTAATAATTGACCAAATACCAAATATGTGAAATTATCTAACAAAAATAAATTAAATATTATTGTTAATAAATTTAATGATTTTAAATGATGATTCATTAAGTCAACTAAGTCAACCATTTTTTAAAAAAATTAAAATTATGAAAAAAAGAAGATATTTGTTTGTCTCTGGATAAATTTAAAACAAAAACATTGTGCTCTGATTTACAACTATTATGTTTTCATGAACTCTATTTTTGGTGCTGGCTGACTTAATAAAATCTATGTAAATATAAAACCTGCTATTGATTTTTTTTAAAATTTGATTATACTTTGCTACTGTTATTGTTATTGTTTATCATTATTAGCAGAAGCTATTTTTTGAGCAGGGTCTCCTTATTCATAAAACTCATAACAAATTTAATAAAGAAATGAATTTATTTTTTTAGAAGGAACAAATTTGGAAAACGATTTCTTTAAAAAATAGCTTCTACTAATAATGATGACAAAGAATTTACTCAGTTCAAAGAACAGCTTCTTCTGCTAGTAACGACAAACGACAACAACAAAGTTCAAAGAGCAATTAATAATATCAATGTTATCATCAACAACAAAACCAAATTATTTATTCTTCCCCTAATACGACGAACGTCAATATTATCATCAACAAAAACGATTATTTATCCAGTTTCGAGGTGGTTTTCTCTAATACTGATGGACATCAACAACAACAAAATATTTATCTAGCTCCAATTTGTTTCCTAATACTGATGAACAACATCATCATTATCATAATCGTCATCAGAATATTTGTCCAGAACCTTCCTTTCCTTCAATTACATCAATTTCCAAACCGAAAACAGCAACTTGAACATAGAATTTGTTTAAAAACATAGTCAATAGAGTGATAGAGAAATAGCATAACGAAAATTATAAGAACTGGTCTTCTATAGAGGTTGGGACCTTAACCGGTTAATTAATATTACAATTGTAATAATAAATTATAATTTTGATAATGCCTCATGAATATATATTAACAAAAATGGTGCAGAACATCTATACTCATCAAAAGTTTACAAAAAAATAAACTGCGAAAATGATAGTAGATTGAGACTTCCTCTTTCAGACTTGCGGTTTACTTTTTTTAGTCGCATAAAGTCAGTTTTATAATTAGTTTTTTAATGTAGGAACACCGATTCAGACCAAACCTATGTCGCGGGAAAGAAATAATCACGACTTTTTCTTATTAATAAAAAAATTACATTTAAATCATTAATTATAAAATGCCACCAATTTCAAATCAAACAAGAAGTGCAGAAGATAAATATGAGCCCAAAAAGTCAAATGATAAAATTATTACAGTCCTAGCCAGATCTTTGGATATGGTGAAGAAGTAAATCTTGAAAATTACGATGAATTAAAAGTTTTTGGCTCTGGTGACAGTAATTGGATGTCGATAATGCAAGTGGTTGCATCACGAAAATTTTTCTGACGTGGATTTACATAATTATTACATTATATTTCTTATTTCAAATTTACATATAAACAATAACACTAAAAACATCTTTTTTAGATTTATTTACCTATTATTCTTTCCACTTTTCCGTATGGATTTGAATCAATTTCTGAAGAGTCTGCTAGTGATGACGTGGAGCCGATTTCTGTTGATTTATTTAATAGAACAAATTCTCTTGAAACTGACGAAATTGGTACTAATGGCAATTTGAAAAGGTTTTATATTTCTACGGACCAAGAATTGGATAATGTACATTTGCCGAGTTAATAATAAAAAATTTGGGTTTTTTAATTACCCAAAAATTATTCGAACGAGGTTTTTTAATTATTACGCAAAATGCATAACGAAAGTTTACAAAATTACACGGCTTAGAAAATCTTATCACTTTTTAATGATTTTAATTGAAAAAAAAACGAACACCACTGATTAAAATTTTTTATTTTTAATGATCCTTCTTGAGCTGCACACATGTTGGAAGAATTTGGACAAAACTTTTCCTCATCTTCCTCATAGACCAGGATTGGCTGTTACCAAACGGGCATTGATCACTGATAGCTGGTGTATGTGTGATGTTTGCTTTGTGTTATATCCCTCTAGTATAAAATTCTCCAATGCAATTTGGGTTGCCGTCTTGTTGGTGGCATGCCTATTCATCAACAACCCTACCACATTTAAATATCAAGTTCAGTTTGTCAAATAACAAGTAAGAAAATTTGGAAACGATTAATTTATACATAACATACCAAACAAAATCTGAACCATTTTATTTTACAGCTTTCTTCCTAACATCAAAGCCCAAATACAATTTCAGGGTCACCAACCCTGCTCTGAATTGTGACCACCTGTTGAAATGAGTTGCAGATTCTCTTAATATTCCTCCAGAATTGCGACTTGGTCACAGAGCCAGCCTTACCTAGAGGTAGGACCATTGCAAGGCAACTTTCCATCTAACTTGTCTGCCATCTCTGGCCTGGGTACTGTGAAGACTAGTGAAAGTCATCAGGAAATTTTTCCCTCCGCAATATTACATCCATAAATTTTAATATGTAAAGTTGTAATACTTGCATAATTTACAAGATATAAAAAGCTATTAGTTGAAGAAATTTTCATTATTTAAGTTCACATTCAAAGTTATTTTGTTAGAAACCTTATCATTTCTTGTAACTTTATACAAAAATTCTTAATAACCATAGGAATAAATAAAATAGAACTTCTAGTTTCTAAGATCTTTTAATAGTAAGTTCTTGATCTCATGTATTGATTTAAAAAAATAATTTTGTTAACCAACTATACAAATTTCTTATTAATAGTAACCATAGGGATGGATATATAGAACGAACTCCTAGTTGTCTATTAATGAATATGCCATAAGTTTGCTTTTATCTGAATTTACAAACATTTACATGTAAGGATTACTTAAAAAAAATTTTTTTAAATAACTTATTTATATATATATATATATATATAAATTTATAAATTTATTTATTGTTTTATGAATTATTAGGAATATTATACCAATTTTTATATATGTATATATTCAATGGGTAAAGTGAATAATTTAGTCATGATCAGGGAGCATAATTAATATTAATTGATTATTTTTATTATATCAATGAATTTGCAGGTAAAGAAAAAAAATTATTGAATTTGTATACAATATTAAAATCATTATCAGGTTACTGATTTTTATGTGTGTGTATTATATTTAATAGGTAAAAGGAATAACTTGGTCAGTTATAAATTATAAACACATTTATTTGTGTATATTAATTATATTTAATGGGTAAAAGAATAACTTGATTGGTTATATTATATTTAATGGTTAAAAGGAATAACATGGTTAGTTATAATTATAAACACATTTATTTGTGTATATTAATTATATTTAATGGGTAAAAGAATAACTTGTTTGGTTATAATTATAATAAACATTATTTTTATTATTATTAAATAACTATTACAGAAAAAATTAATGTGTACATATATATATATTAAAATTATCTATCAGGATAATATAATATATGTTAAATTGCAAAAATGTCATCTCATATTGTTTAGTCCCATATAATTCGGAAGTTTATGACCAGTCAATAAAGCTCTTGCCATGATTTTCTCGTTTTTTCTCTTCCTTTAAAGATTGTTTATATTTATTAACAAAAGGATCTGCATAAATTTAGCCAATCAAATTTTCTTCTAAAGAAATTCCAGAACGTTTATCATTTATAAATTAGGAAATACCAAATTTAGCATATTCCCTGACTGTATTAAATTACAAATAAAATAAATACAAATGAGTATGAACAAATGATTAGCCTAAAATATGTAAAATTGCTCAATTACTAAAAGGAAAAAATGCAATACCTTCTTAAACCTTATTATATTTATAATGCGACATTATGTCTTCGACAGGTCTCGATATAACACGACGAAAACCAATTACTACTATTACGAAACCTTTTAACTTATTAGGATCCGATTTGACTATCTGAATCCTTTCATCCAATACTCCTTCAGCAGAGTAACCAACGACTTGTCCCTTTGCGATCGTATTCATGTACGATCCCACCTGTTTTACTCCATTATTTAATATTCCACGTATAGATGTCTGTTTCATCTTATTTGTTCCTCAGACCAATATACATATTTCCTTCCAAGTAAAGATTCTTCATCTTCTTTTTCTAGAATCTTATCTAATTTTTCTAATTCATTCGCATCAATTTTTTTCATCGAACTTCCCTTAATATCTCTCATCAAACCAGTTAATGAAATGTACTTTAATTCTAAACTAATATTATTACCCTCAGCTCCTCCCAGAACAAAAACATCAAGATAGCCAAAGTGACCTGATCCCTTTTGTTTTTTGCTATTCATTACCAAACAAAGTTCTGGAACATGGTATCTTGATGGGAGAAGGATCTCGACAATTGCCTGGAGGACAGGCTCATTTGCCGAACGCAGGGACATTCGTGATCTTGTTATCAAGAAAGCCTTTACAATCTTTATAAAAGGAACGATATTACCCACGACAAGATTGTTATAGGCTAAAACAACAAGGAGGGCATCATCTGCAACCTGTGTGCACATCCAAATGTTTGATAAAGATATTTTTGTATGTTAAAATAAAATAATAGAAAATATAATTACTCACCTCAGATTTCAATGAGATAGATGTAGAAGCCTCAATTATGTTCTGGCTTTTTGGTCACAAAACATCTATATAATTGCAATGATTTTCAACTCTCAAGAAAAAATAATTCTCCATTCACATTATTAAATACCATATATTTCATACCTTTTCTGTTTTTTCTGTTGATTGGAAAAAATTTAATTTTGTTTGTTGTACATACTAAACATTATTTATTTCAGCCAAT